GGAGCAGGTGCGATTGAGACACAGCTTTCAGCCACGGAGGCAAAACTTTCTGCTCAGCTGCTGAACTTATCAAAATTCCTTCAGTGGATGGAGAATTAAATCCTAGGAAACCTTAAGCCCTGAAACCAAATGGCAGTAATATGGCATTGGATGAGCTACCTAATTTCATTTACCCTGTCTGCCACAGAAATGGCCCTAGAACTGAAAGGCACTCTTGATGGGATGCTTTTGTAAGGCCAGTGAGACACTTGGTGAGTCACAGAAGACTTTTTTGTTGTTTTAGTTTGTTTTTGTTGTTTTGTTTGTTTTAGTTCTTTTTTGTTGTTGTTTTTTTTACAGTGGGAAAATATAGTATAAAATGCAAACACTACAAGGAAAAAGCAGCAGACAAAAAAAAATTACCAAAGCAAACTGACACAGAAAAGAAAAACACTTCGTTTGTCGTCATTTCTCTTCTGCGTTAGCAACAAAAGGAAAGTCTTTTCCTAGTGGCCTCTGGAAAACATCACAGATCTCACATGTCCCCTGGGCCACATGGTGCCTGTGTCACCAGAAGATTCTTCAGCTGCTATTCAGCCAGCTGCCATCAGGCCTTTGCAAATGCTGTTTAGTTACTAGCTTATCACCCGGCCAGCCCAAGGATAGCCATTTTAGGAAAAGTCCAGAAATAATGCATCTAGCCTTTCTACAGTCTCACACTGTTCTTCTAGTTCAGCTAAGAGGCTGCATCGTTCACTGCTGCACTGCGCAGTGGCACACCTCTCTCCCTGGGGGAAGTGTATTTATAAAGATCACCCAGTGGAGGAGCACAAAATGATTTGTACTGCAACCTGGAGCTTATCAGGAAAACGATATTTGGCAGGAACACAGCCAACGTCTGGCAGAAGGTAGCACGTTTCCAGTTCTGGCCTTTGTAGAGGCGAAGTTGCTTCCAGCAGGGCTGTAGGTGGCAGGAGGCTGATTGATTGCAGCCAGGCCTTGGTACTGGAACTGGGAGAGCGTCTGCGTCTGAAGGGCAAGGCGGCTTGCAGGCACCGAGGACGCGGGCAGCATCAGCGCTTTTCAGCTGCTGTTCTCAGAGCAGCTCTGCCCCTGAGAGCAGCAATTGCCTCTTTTCCCCCAGCCTGAGCCTCTGAAGCAGAACGGTTTCTTCTGCTGATATTTTTCCCAGCCCAGCTGCTTTTTCGGGGTGGTTGTAACACCTCAGCATGGTCACTAAGCAAGGAGAGCAAGCTCCTCCAGGAAGGTCTAAGCCCACCTAACCTCACCATGAAAACAAGCAACCCCCTACCCAGCACTCAGTAGCCCTCTAGCAGCACTAACCCTCTTCCCCATTTTGTAGCTGGCCGCTGACATTGGTAACCTGCCGAGAGCCAGCAGCATCAGCTAGCCCACCCAGTTAATCCTGCCTGGCTCCCGCACTTGCAACTCGGGGGGCAGCTAGAAGGCTCAGTGGTGTCAGTGCCAAGCCTTAAAGTGCCTTGGAGACTCAGAGATCTCAAGACTGAAGAATCTTGTTGTTTTTTCAGGTTATGGTTTTTTTCAGTCAATTTTCAAGATTCTACCAACAGCTGTGAAGGCTGTTTCTTTCTAGATGAAAGCTGATCTCATATGACAGCAGGTATTTGAGTTTTTAAGAGAAATACCAATCACTGCGACGGCTGGCAACGCTTGTTTCTGGCCTTTTTTTCTCATTTTGTCCAAAATGCCTGGGGAAGAGAAGAAAGAAAGGTCCTTCTATGTAAAAGGTTAGACTAACCTTGTTAAGTTCACTGGGAGTTCGTCTGCCATTCTCCGTGGGGGATGAAGGTGGACGTGACCTGGCATTTTTCGGGGGTAGAAATTTCATTTTTTCCTAGGAGCTACCAGAGAATGACCATGCAGTACTGCAGGGACTCTAGAAACCATGCAGAAAAAGGCTGTTACTACTGTGCGAGCCCCTCCATCAAAGCCTGGTGAGAAGGGTATCTGGCGCGGAGTGATGTTAGAGTAGCCCCAAGGAGAAGAGTAACTTTAGCAGCAGCAGTGCTAGTGTCAGGCACCTTTTCATACTGTAAAGGGCAGCATTTTTGAGCATTCCCCATGTGGCCCGTTTATTCAGCTTTTTACAGGACTGGCTCTCCGGAGCAGGTAGCAATGGTCCAACCACCGATTTACCTCCTCTGACTGTTCTGCAGTCTGGTAAACATGCAGGTCTTGATGTACAGAGAGGGGAGTTAAACTGAACTCTAAGAGATGAACGCTTTCCCTGAAGGGAGTTAGATTTGCAGTGATGTGAGGAAAAAAGAGCAAGAACAGAATGCCTTGGAGGTCGCTACGCAGCAGCAGAACAGCCTGTGCAGTGCCTAAACCCCACACCCTTAACCAACCGGCCCGTAGCCTCCCCGCTTCCTGCTGGCTCTGCTTTGTGCATGCATGGGCTGCTTTAGCTAACATCTCCCTGGGGCGTAAATTGGCATTTTCAAGCTTCCTCCTTTTTTTAATTAGTGAATGTGCTGTCATTTATGAGCTACAGCCAGCACGTGAGATGAAGAGACCTGTTTTCCCCAAATACTAACTTTGAGCAACAGAAACTCCCAAATAATACCAGCGTAGCTGTGGGTGTTAACGTTCTTACTTGTATCTTTGCAGCTGAAAAGTTCAGTGCAAAAAAGCACTCTGTTCTCCAAAGCATGCTTATCTGTCCAAATTTAAGGAGCAACCAAGTGTTTTTCAACCCTCTCTCCTTAAGTGGGGATGTAAAGAGGCTACTGGAATGGGAAGTTACTGCTGCTAGAAGGAATTCTGACTGGGCTAGCAGATGGCAAGGTTTCTTGTAAATGCTTCCTGATAAAGAATAAAAGGGGGCAGGAATCAGACCGGATGCAAAAAATATCCACATTTACAACACCTTTTTTCCTTTGGTTACCCTGAAAAACCAGGGGAGAGAGTTCTGAATGTTGACTTTTGACAAAGAGCTTCTTTCCTTCATCCTTAAAGAATAAAAATATGGTCTTTAAATACTGCTAAAAGAGTCTATGCCTCCTTAGAAGAGAAATATAAATGACACAAATGCCTATTAATCAGACATATGGTGAATATATGTAAAACATAGGAATAAATCAACAAATAACATTCTGCAAATTCTACTCTTTTTGTCACTCTTGGGCAGAGAAGTGCATAATTAATTTCTCTTCAAGTGTTCATCCTCTAGCTCCATCACCTGCATTGCTCTCAGCTCCCTGGTGGTGAGGTACCAAACACAGTATTGCTAGAAATGGCAGAGATCCAGCCAATGTTCAGAAAACCACAGCATTTGCTGCAGGAGAAATTGACAGCGCTAGCCAAGGTGAACATGAAAGGAACGGCTTGCTTAGGGTCAAGGGAGGGGAGTCAGTCAGCACAACAGCTCAGACTAAGGAGATAAAGCTACATTCGTATTTATACTCTAACCTGTTCTTACAAAGGAAAGATTTGTCAAAGGATGTCAGCCTAGTTGTTAAAAATTACTTGGAGAAAAAATACCTTGTTTGCATAGTTAGGATGCAGATATCAGTTATAGCCTGTTGATTGTTTTGGCTCTTTTTGTAATGAAAAGGTTGATTATTAATACCAGGATGAACGCTAGCTCACGCTGAAGGACTTGAGGGTTGCCAGCGGGAGAAGCTCCCACACAATTCTCTAGGAGCTGGAGGTGTTCAGTGTGTTGAGTGTGCTGGCAACCACATCAACGACTAGAAGGATCTATTCTGGGAGAAAACACTGGGCTTAGTCACTAAACTCACAGAAAATGAGAGGAGCCGCCTGTAAAGTGGGATGAGGTGAGGACCAGGGATACTTAGTATCCTAAGATGATTTTTGCATTTCCTCTGGCGAGGTGTTACAGGAAGACAGCCTGCTGCATCTCTGTTTGCATGGCAGCAACCCCTATGTGTTAGGCTGTATGACAGTCAAGTACAGATGGCCCAGCGGGAAAGCTGGTAAAAGGCAGAGCTTTGTTAGTAATCACAGAGAGTTTGCAAAAGGCTATAGCTGTTTGCTTCCAGCCTTATCCTGACCCTGTGATTAGTGATGCATTGATCATTGTTTGCTTATTAAGACGAGAAAACAGAGGGCAGAGATTTACTCTCTTCTCTTCACAACCAGCAAGTGTTCATATGTGCTTTTAGATTATAGGGCAGATCCCGCAACTACTCAAGTGAGATTTTTCAGGGACTTAACAGGCTTTAGTGCAAGTCCTGCAAAACTGGAATTAACCAAAGCTAACATTTCCTCTTTGTTTAGGTATTAAACTGGAGTTTATTGAACCATTTCTTCCTTTCATGAAGGGAGACCTTTAAAGCCAAGTACTCATGTACAAATGTGAGATGACCTATAAGGTTTGGTAACGATGCTCAATTCTTTGACAGAAAAGGGGTAAGAATTCCCTTCCAGGAGAGGTAATCCTGGATCCTATGTGAATGGAAGCACCTCCTTGCAGCCCTGAGTAAAAAGCCTAAGACCTGGGGATAGCTGGGTTTCAGAGTCCGTCATGTCTTTGTGCTATTGATTACCTAATTTGGTGGTGATTGTTTTGGATTCAGCTTTGAGGTTCTTCCCTTAGGGTATGTATCTTCATTTCTGAAAGGCACCTCCTCTATGAGGATAACTTATGTGTCAGGCTATCTCCCAGTGCTAAAATTCTGGAAACTAGTGTTTATGCATATCAAAATATACTTCCTTAAACACTTCACAAATCATGCTTACAGAATGTTTTGAATTTTCTTAATCATTAAAATGGTATCTTTTAAAACAGAATTATATTGTAACATACAACATTTTATATCTAAATTGTTAATATTCTATAAAGTAACCTATTCAACTGTTTTAATAACCTCAATGTCCTCTGTAATGAAGAAGTTCTTTGTATGTCCCTCAGTGACAAAAATGGAAAATGAAGCCTTCAGATTTTTCTCTTAACCAATTCCAAGTCAGTTCGCTAATGTGAACATCATACTAGAATGAAACATGTAAGCCAAGGATAATGCTATGCTCAATATTTTATTTATATTTTTATGTAAACATAATTTGCTTTGTAGGCACAATATAACAAAAGCTCTAAAGCAACAAATACAATTAAACAGTGTTTCAGTTCACTTAATCAGGCTTAAGTTAAAGAAATACTTTCACAGTTCCTTTAAGGCAAATTGAGAAATAATTTGTTTCACTTGAAGAAACTAACCAATTGTCTAAGAGTTGGTTAAACAACAGTGTTAGTAAGTGGTAAAAGCAAACCTTCATTTCTACTGCAATAAGACCTGTTCAGAAATAATCTCACCATCATCATTTTGTATAACATGCCCTCCAAACAGAAGGGATGCTAACTGTTCGTGGTATTCTGAAAAGTATTTAGGGTTTGTGGGCCAAACTCTGCTATCAGGCGTAACCTTCATATATGCCATGTTAATACCAGTAAAACTGAGTATAATTCAGCTTAATGATTGCAATTCTAATCTGCACTGTAATTAGGTAGATCCAGAAGTACTCCTTTGTACTCACTGCAATTACCTCAAGTCTATGCACTGATGTTCTGCCGATTAGAAAATGGCCCTAAAATTGTGATGAAATAGCATGAAGAGTATTTTTGCCTCGCTAACAAAACCAAAAAGAACTAGCCAAAATGATTTCATTGAATTGTTGTCCCTGTGGTGCCTGTGGCCATGACCAAGATCACCCATCTATCTGGAAGTAAAATTTAGGGCCAACCTATACTGTGGTTTTTAGCAGAAGAACTGATGCGTTGTTCTGCTAGCCCTACTAATTTAAGGCCTTGAGAATGCCGCTTTACTGCCAGCTCGAAGGTTACCAGCAATATTGCTCACTGTGGCGTCAAATCAAAATTCCTAGTTATGTTAAGGTTTGTTGCAGGACAACATTGTTACGCGAACTGCAAAACAAAATTGGGCACATTTCCTACTGTTGTCAGCTTATGGGTGGTGAAAATGTAACGGCCTTTCCTTTAAAGGCCTAATTGGCAATCCCAATGCATGGAAAACTCTCACTGAATACATTTTTTTTCTGTGGTCAGAGTCCCTGTTTGGGCCTGATATGGCACTGGAAGTATAGATAGTCCAACATGAGAAGAAAATCAGCTGTAATGAAGTTCTGCATCAATAACTAGAAGAAACTGAAGTTCTTTCAACAAAAGCTTGTTTGGCATTTTTCTCAACAGTTACTACTTTTCATTGTTTTTGAACTGTTTAACACAGGGGAAATTCATTCAGAATGAACCTTCTACATGCTTAACTAGTATTAGGACAGCAACTTCATGAGCACAGTGTAAAGAGATGGACATTAATACTCAGGCAACAAAGATTAAACAAACGGAAAAGCAAGAGAGAGTCCTCTAAAACCACACATAAAAGTCATCTGGATCCACCATTCCTTTCACATTGAGAAAAGCCTGAGAAACTCTCCCTCCTCACTTTTCTATATTATTTTTCAACTTCTGTCGCTACATGATACGCATATATTTAGGTGAACAACTGGGCATGCTTGGAGAAATACTTTCTTTTGTAAAAAATATATTAATTCAAAGATATATGGCATTATACAAGGTCTCTGATGTTCCTTTAATGCTTCTACTGTAGGTTGCACTCATTTTAAAATAATTATTTTAACAAGAACATTAAGGACCTGAGTAGCTGCTACTTGGGTAGGTGAAAGGTAAGGAAACATTTTTTTTTTCATTTCGTGTTTAGATATGGTTTTCATTAGTGGGAGGTAGATAGTCTAGCTGGTCTTTGAATGCCTGATCCTGCAAATAATCACATACGTTACTGTACATATGGGAGCAGAGCTTTTTGTAGAACTAGTCATCTAGGTAAAGTTATCCCCATGCATAATTTCTGATGGGATTAAGGCCTAAAAGTAATTTTTAAAAGGGTTAACTGCTGTAGGAGTTCAGCTCTAGCTTGATAGTTGATCCACCTATTAGTGATTTCAGAGCTGTAAACTCAGCCTGCAAAATAATTTCTTTCCACATCCTGAAGAGTGATTCTTGCTGATAGGATTTAAAAATCACTGAATTTACAGTTGTTTTGGATTACAGACACAGATGACTCAAATGTGTCCTTAGCAGAAGATGCTGTTGGATTGTCAATAACAATGCTAATTGTTACAGGCAATTAAAGTTCTGGGTTTAAAAAAGTGATTCACTGACTTTTCTTTGCCTGTAGCATAGAGGGTGGTAGCTCAGAAGATCACAGGGAAGCATGACAGTTAGCACTTTGAATGAATGTGTTTAATCAGGAGTGCTGATGACTAGTGTGATTATACAGTACTAATCAAAATCCCTCAGTTAACGACTTCTTGCACAATTTCAGACTCTACAGCTACAAATGAGGTATTTTTGAAAATGAAGATAGAACTGTTTATAAGATGAGGAAGCATGATTGAGGAAAATAAACTCATCTTCTCTGCAACTTTTATCTGTGGTTCGTAAAAGGAAAACTAATTTAACACTGAAAATCCAAACTTAAAATCCTCCCTGCAGTTACTAGAATCTGCCAGAGGACGAGTGGGGGAATTCTTTCTGTTGTCATCGTTGTCAACCTGCAAACGAAAAAAACATCCCCCATCCCCCCAAAGGACTTTATGCAAAATGTTGGAATTTGCATGAGAAAGATGCCCATCTAAAATTACACGGTAAGTTAATAAGGCTTTTAAATTGGAACAGAAAAATCCATGGGACTCCTACAGGGAAATTGGGTATCACACTGGAATGTCATAATACTGCACTGGATGAGAATGGCACTTGAGTTCAAAACAACAATGATAACAGCTCATAGCTCAGCTGACTGCAGACGAATACAACACACACTGTACTACAGCATTTGTTCACTGGTGCACAGAATAGATTTCGCAGTCTTGTTCCCTTCTGCTTGATCAATCCTTCAGCTTTTCTTCCCCCACCTCTGGCTATTACTGGATGAACGGCATGCGCTCTTTATTCTCATTGTCCCCTTCATGGTCTTCTTCCTCTTCCCCAGCCTCACTTGTCTCTGTGCTGTCATTGGCCATCTGTAGGATGAAAGATGAAGGAAATTAAAGTGCCTATCACATTATTTTTATCTATTTTTATTTCAATTTGGTTCTTCTGATAAACGATTTTAAAAATGAAAGCAGACAGAGTTGTAACATGAAAATACACATTCCGTCTGTACGAAAAAATTGTTGGCTCTATACCACTTTCAGCTAAAATCATAAGCTGTTCTTGCAAGTATTGCAGCTGAATTATGTAACAGAAAGCTGCTTTGTAGGACAGTTGTTCAAGTGGAGTCTTGCGTGCGTTTGTAGCAAAATGATATTAAGGCTCTGAGATAAGAAACACAACTGTGTAGGTATTTCACAGTATGTATGAGCCCTCTGGTTTATGAATCCTTCAGTATCTCCTCTTCCAGAAAATACATAAAATGATTGTTTAATGCATGCTAACAGATGGCATCTGGTCCCACATGAGGTATGGTGTCATAAAAACTCAGAGAGCAACTGTTTTATTTTAAAAATAATAAATTGGAAACCTTTATAAAGCAGTGGATATGTAGATGTTCGTAGAATATACCTGTGTCCAGATGAGCATAACCAGACTGCAAATCTTGGATAATACAGGAGCGGGGAGAAACTGGATTGCCATATGTTACTCAAGGTGCCTGTACAACTGGTAGGCAACTGGAGAAATTAGCGATTCATGATAGCATTTTAGGAGCACATCATGTTTTTTCACATGGAAATCTTTATTATATACTGTGTAAAGGTGCCAGACCCACCTATACTCCACCTATACTTCACCTTGTCAGTTTGACTGGTCTCTGGAGGCACAACAAGAGTCTGGTTAACGGGACAAGTGACAGTGCTTAACTGCACAGATTAACAAGACTGAATTTCGCTCTGCACCAATATTACTTCTCTCAGGACACAAGATGATTCTTTTACTTACTAGCCTATAGCTATTTCAAAACCAACATAAACAAGGGATCCATTTATTTTTCAAAGAGAAATGCAGTGAAATTGTTCAAACACAACCCGATTCTAATGGAGAAAAGCAGTGCTCTGAAATTACCCATATTTTTGAATGAACTCCTTTTCATGAAAGTATAACAGAATTGTTCTCACCTTTTAACTAATGGCTATTGTGAATATACAAAAACAAGAGAACAGATGAAGTTAATACATTAATGTTGTGTTAGGGATTCTGCTTGACAGTTCTGAGATGCAATTCACCTACAAAATAATGTCTTAATTCCCATGAGTGAAGTCCCAAAAGCTTTCCTTTTCCTTGCAGGGATTTTGTAAGTGATTTGCCGCCAATTTTAGAGTAAAAGCTTAACTGTAATTCCAGATTCTTTTCCTTCAAACAGGAGCTACTTCAGGTCTGAAAACAAACTTCATACTTCAGTGTCCACCTTAAGTCAGTTTTTCATCATCTTTTCTACTGTTCTTTCCCACATAATCAGTCAAGGTTTAGGTGTGAGCCTCTTCCATTTACTACTGCTCTCTATAATGTTTCACTAGCATGATAAGTGCTCCAAATCTAGTGGAGCACAGACCTCCATCACAACTGTCTTCCTTCAGAACATTTCCAGGGGGAAGTATTTAGGTATTATACTTCATATTTCATAATAGAAGTAAAAGAAATCCCTACCAAAGGTGTATCTTGGCTTTTGCATGTGCAGGTGTATCTTGGCTTTCATTCAGAAAGCACTTCTGTGCTGGTATGCTGAGGTTATATTGACTGTGTCTTTTTCTATTCAATCCACTCAGTTATCCTTATTAATACAGGAACTTTGTATTACACGAAACTTCGATTTGTTTTCCAACACAGGGACAGAAATAGATCTGCAGTTTTACTGTGATCACAGAAATCCAGTGAGACTTACACGTTTTTGGAGAGGCAGATAGCCATTCTGCATAGAAAATTAATTGCTGGGGCTACAAGAAACATAATTTTCATTTCATCTTAGGCTGCAAGTATAAAATGTGATTATTGGTGCTATTTGGGTGCTATGGATTTAGAAGAAAACCGTATGCAAAAAAACTTTTAAGTGACATTTCTCCAAAGGTCATTAACATGCTTTAACTTATGTGACTACATGCCATGAATGTAGTGGTTTGCACTCACCAGGGGAGTGGGCGCTTTCTCCACATCCAGAATTAGTTTTCCTATATTTCCTCGGTCATGGATTCTCTGCATGGCCTCCTTCACCTGTAAGATAGATAATCTGCTGATAAATTACATAGGCACACTGTACAGAAGCCTGATGTTCTTTTCTTCCAATGACAGCAATAAGTTTAAGGTATGCTGTGTGCGGTGTCACTCAAACTGCTTCTTGAAAGGAAATTAATACAGTTAAGCATTTTCTAATGAATTTGTAAGGCCTGATTTTTACACAGTATTTGCCAAAAGGGGAACTGAGTCTTGATGGCAGTTTTTGAATAGTGTAATCCATACATAATGGTAGCATATTACATAAGTAATAGTTAGCAGAGGTGCAAAGTGAAATATAGGCTCAGGGAATTAATCCTAACAGGATGTTCATTAGATTAATTTCTTTTTATTTTTGCAGAATATTTGTGAAGAAACTGTACTTTCACTGAAAGCATGAAAAGTTTTTTAGTTGACCTGTGACGGTCTTCGATTAATATCTTTTGCCTTCCTATAGGGAGAATGCCATACCCAGAGAATGGCTGTGATTAATGCAGTGCTTTGGTTCCCACTTGCATAAGTGAGTATTTCTTTCTTTTTTTTTATAAATAATGTCCTAGAGATACAACTAAAACTAGACATTTAACAGCTGGCTGCAATTAGCACATGTGAGAAAGGAACAAAAAACTCATCTCACCAGTGCACTGCAGAGGAGCTTATTTTGACATATGACGTTTCAGAACTTGTGGGATCTCAGTGTCAATGAACTGAAATGCTGTGCGAATGTTTCACTGAATGTTCAATGTGCAGAATGCAGACCACTGTTTAATCACTGGAAATTGGAAGATGTCGAGTTTCCTCACTTTGGTAGTGGGAAACTTCAGGAAGTGAGAATGTACACATAAAGACTGTTTCATATCCTCATCACACTATTTTTTGCCAGCATAACAGGATATGTTCAGACAAGAAAGTGAACCGGCGAGTTTTATGTTAATAAGATCTACCATCTGTGACATAGTTTTATTGAATATTTTAAGAATAATGGCATGGAAGTTTGAGACAAAATGCTCACTTGGGAACATGTGGCTCCTAGGGAACATTTTAAGCCTGAACTGAGGTCTAGGCACCTGAGGTCATTACTGAATGCCTAATACACAGGGAAGTGTTTGTATGAGATTTCTAAAAATACTAAGAGAATAAGGCTCTCAACTTGCAGTTAAATTTAATGGATGTTCGGCACAAAACGTCTTTACCAACTGTCAGCCTTACTTTAAAAGCTGGCAGCAGTGAATTCAATATTACAGCCTTAATTTTGCTGAGTGGTTCCCTCAATTAGTAAACACCAGACTTAAAAAATTCTGTTGGAACAAAAGAAAAATTGCACTGCAAAGCTAAATGACTTTCCGACTTTGGACGTGATTGTAGATTAACCTTGGAAAACACTGTCTTATGAATCCCACTGGAGGTTGGAAGGTTGCCCTTTTAATGTAGTCCACAAAATCACAGTAACTTTTATGAAGTCAGCTTACAGCTATACCTAACTATACTAAAAAGACTTACAATAACATTAATCATTTGTTCTGCAATATGGTCAATATTACTTTAGGAATATCTAACAAAGACTCTGAAAAAGCAGCAGTATATTATTTTTTAAAAATACTATTAGCCAAGTCAAGCTTTTAGAAGTCTATAGTATGGTATAGATACATAGATGGGACAGAACTTGGGAAATCAGCAGATACATTTGCCCATCCATTGGAAACATCGTGTGGAAATCAAGGTATGCAATGTTTATTTTAACTTGTACCATATCACATTAATCTGTACCATATCACATTTAGCAAGGCAATTTTCAGAAAATGTGCTTTTCCTGCTTTTTTCGTGTGTACAGTATCAAGTTTAAGACTCTGGAGAAAGATTCAGGTGTTGCTTCCAGGATGCTCATAAGCAGCTTGCAAATGCAAACAGCAGGCAGAGGCAAAAAGAAAGAACAAAAAAAATTGTAACAATAATAGTGGCTATGGGATCCAGATGGAGCTATTACAATATATTAAAAAAAAACTGAAAAAAAGTTTGAAGAGCTGATACAACATCTGTATATTTTAGTGTCATTTGCAACTTGCTTACCCAGTTAGTCAAATTCTGCACTAGTGCAGTGCCATACAGTACGCTGTATGTGAATTAAGAGACCTTGAGATAATTTATAAATATGGAATTTTTCAGTTTACAGCTGCTAACAGTTCATGTATTCAACCAAGACTTCAACTACTTGTTTCTCAAGATGCTTGAATATTTAAACCATTCCCTCTTACACTACAGAGAACAGAGGGCATTAAAAACCTTCTTTGCTGTGCAAGTATGATTAAGCTTTAAGTTGTTCACTGCAGATCATAAAAAGCATTTACTTATTAATTTGAGCATTTAAGTGCTGAGTATGGTCTTCCTTTCTCCAAGTTTGTTAAAAGCTTAAGGTAGGTCTGCGCTTGAGGGCTTTCGTGTTACCAATGAGAATGATGGATCATGCTGCGCCTGAGAAAAGGTTTAGACACAGGTTTAAATGATGGTACAGTAATGCATATGGAAGTCCTGCAATCTAATGGAGTTCCTCTGAATAGTGGTTGAAGTCCCATTTGAAATAAGTGTCCTTTCCTGTAGCAGGGATCAAAAGGGGCTTCCATCTGCTTACAAAAGTGTGTCTCTAAATTACTTTTCATCCAGTGTTCTGTATTGTTTGTTATCTGTGTTTGTCAGCTCACGTCAAAGAAAATGAATCAAACTTTTGTTTGTATGGACAAGTTAATTCAATTTCTTGAAGCAGTATCATCAGAGAGGGCTCTTGTTTTGAAAGTAGTGCAGAGGAATGTTTACTACCTTAAAAAGAGTTTCCACTAAAATAAAAGACCTAACAGTTCTCTTGGCTCTTGTCTGCTTTCAGTATAGCTCAGCCCATATGGGGCTTGTGTCTAAGCTAATGCTGATCTACAGATTTTAGCCTTGAGAGGCCCCAAACTGACAAATATGTTTCACAGGGCTCTGCACTGGAATCGAAAACTGTTTTTGCACTTTAGCGGACAATTGGAAATTGCTTCCACTGTCCATGTTTTTTGTCTAAGGAAAGTTGCCAAACCCACTGCTGAAAAACAAGACAAAACCCAGAATGCTGCACAGCTGTACCCTGTGTGATGAATCTAACATAGGCCCTCCTAGGCAGCAATAGAGGAAGCCAATTAATAGTGAAGGAGCAGTAAAAGGAATCTCAGGTGTGCCTTTTCCCTCAAGCTCACTTTTGCATCAATACATATTTTAGTTTGACATACTGTTTTTTTAAATACGCTCTAGAGCAGAATTATCTTCCTGTATCTGTTCAAGCTAATGGAAAATGATAATAAACACAGGCTAATAAACTTTCTAACCCAGTTTGAAACCATTTGCAGCTGCTTTAGGGAATACCATTTTATAATTGGAGAAAGCATTTTGACCAATTATATGCTCCTATACCTGTCCAGCTCTACAAATGTCTACAAATATAGTCATGGATATCTTATCATATCCCTACATCCAGGGTTTTTTTTGGCAATGACAATAAATCTTGCAATTAAGAAGGCCTGTGTGAAGTGCACTTCAAGGTCCTTTACGAGCACGGCATGCTTACCGTGCCCTGTGAGAAACATTCAGAATTCTTCTTTTCCATCAAAACTCCCCAAATGCTGCATGTTTTCTTAGCCTTGTACAAGCTCTCCTTCTGCCCCTTAGCTGGACCCAAGCAGAGGGACAATGAATATAAAATACAGAGAGCTTAATCAGGAACATACAGAACAAGCATTGCATTGTGTTGGAATTATAGGAAAATTTCCAGCCTTAACTGGTCTTAGCAAATTTTAATCTATTAACACAACCTGCACACTTAAAGACATGTTATGCTCCCAGTACCCAAACAGAATTCTTCAAAGAAGTCTTAATACAAACACAGGGGAAAAAAATCACAAAGGCAGCAAAGAGGGCCTGCTGTGAGAAGCTTATTCAAGTATGATTTCCTGAGGGGATGTTATGGTTGGGATCTCAGAGCTACTCTTGGATCAGAGCCACTTTTGTCCACCTGTATTGTGTACGAGACTGAGAAGAGCAACAATTATTGTCGATAGACCTTGGTAGGAGAGGAAGGGCAGAAATGCCTTCATGTTACAGGTCAGAGATTGTTCTAAAATAAGTTTCATGACTCTGGAAGTATAAAGTTTGCCAGCTGTATTGAAACCTCTCCAAGACCACCATGTTATCTCTTTTAGGGTATTCCTCAAAAGCATCAAGAACTTTGGATATAGTGTCCTCTTTAAAATTTCCTATTCTGCTTCAGACTCATCTTCTCCAGCTTCAAATCTTTTACAAATCAAGCTGAGGCACTTATCTTAGCTAGCAATGGTAATTTCAGAATACTATTCAATACTTTCATCTCCTACCATATTAGACTTCTCTTTCTTTAAAACCAAGTTGTAATAATGAGGTGTCCCTTCTAACTAATTTTATACAGAGAAGTATTTCTGAAAGCTAATAATTAGAAGAGCCATCCTGCTATCTAAAAGTAAAAAAGAAAAAAATGCAAAGGAAAAGCAGGCTAACCCGGCAAACTGGTTTCTAGATTTAAGGAAGCGATCATCTGGCCTTGTCTTTCTACTTTCAAACATCTGGGCTCTAGAGGTTTTCACAATGTCGATAACGCTATCTCAGTGTAATGTGTCACACTGACCAGTCCTTCTGATGCTATATTATCATGTGTTGTTAAGAGAGCAATCAGCATGCAAAGAAACAGAATGTCCCTTACTTCCAGATGGGCACAGAGGAACACACCATCTATTTAGCTCGTGATCTGTGACTGTAAACTGTCATTTGTTCTTCTCATTAGTTCCACCCTTTAGGTTCAGTATCACTTTTTCCTATTCACACATCATCTCAAAGAATCACCTTTTGTCCTCTGTTTATATACTGAAAGCATCCAAGGCTTCCAGCATGTCATGTTAAGACTGTTCCTTTCTAGCCTTGAAAAAATCCCCTCATCCATTGAAAGCAAAAGATCACCCTGAAGTCTTCCTCTTCCAGCTACATCCCTTCCCTCTTTAATCCTTTAGCTGATGCTTGAGACTAGAAGTTAAGACCTGAGTACCACCATTTACTCTCTGCATCCAGCCTTCAACCCAACTCTCTTCTGTCCATCTGACCTCCTTTGAGTACTTTTAAGCAGTATTATGTTAAAAACACCTGCACAATTTTTCCTGTGCTGCATTTATGCATAGGAGATGCATAACATTGTTGTCTGTCACAACAATGAAATCTCCAAAGCTGCTGCTTTAGTTGTTATTAATAGTTTTCTCCCTAATGGCAGTGTCATTCCACTCCTCACACATCTCCTAAGTCTCCTCTTCGGTGTGCATATGGGAGGCTGAAAACAGCCATTACTTGAGAAATAGCTTGTAACTGCCGTTGCCATGTCACAGTTACCCAATGCTCCCTCCCTGGTTAGCATAGCTACTTATTGCCCCACACTACGTGATGCTCTTGGACGGTTTTTGAAGCAGGGACTGTGCCTTC